AGACTGGAAAGGTCTTGCCCAGGTCTCTTGTCTTTTTTTATTTCTTACTTTTGTGGAGTGTGTCAGTCTTGTGGAAGATCAAATGCACATCTTGCACTCTATTTCTTTCTTCATTACAAACTATTTTTCTTTTCTTTTAAGACTTGGCATTAGTGGTGCTGAACTCATGGAAGAGGGAATGGCTTGCTTGTCTAGGTTCAACTGGGCTTAAGTAAGTAGAATCCCTCTCTTATGATGGTCCTTTCCAAGCAGCCTGACCACCCCCACCCACCCCAGTTAAGCAAGCCAGATGTTTCACCATCCCAACTGCTTTGGAGCAATGCTGGTTGCTTGAGAGCAGGTGAGACCAGAGCAGCAGGAAGCTGGGAGAAGTAGGAACAACAGTAATCCACCCTAAAAGTGAATCCAGTAGGGACCTGCTTCACCAATTGCTGCCTAGGAAGGAACCACATTATTTTCTGCTTATATACCAAGACTGTCAACCTCTGTGCAAAAGTGCATTTTCAAATCTGGGGGCTACAATTTTGAAATAATTGCATTTTTCTCCTATCACAAGGATGAGCAGGTTGTGTGGAAAGATACAATTAGAGATCTGGGGAGGGGGAGAGTCATGTGGCAGATTGTTTCATACATGTCAGTGTAGCCCAGGGGAAGGGGAGACATTGGGGAAAAGAAACCTTCTGCCTTATTTAACTTACTGTAAAGGAAACTAGGAAATTCCTGTTATACTGTAGTTTCTAAGAATCTGTATTTATCACAGGTTAGCATACATTCTTATGGAAATTCACATTGTTTTTGCTTGATGTTGCCAGCTATGTGAGGGTCTGATCACACTTTTATCTTTTTTTCTCCTCTTGGATGACTGAAAACTATCAGAGCATGATTTCGAGAAGAAAAAAACATTTAAAGGAAAATGGTTAACCTGCTGTTCTTTTTTGCTGGTTCTCTAGCCAACAATTTTAAAATATTAAATAATAATAAAATAGATGCATACTACATGTCTTGGAGGCTGAATCGAGAGCTTTCTAATTTTTGTTATGAATTTTTGGAGACGTCTTGTTCTTTCATCAAAATGCAGGATGTATCTAGCTCCTTTTTTTCTATGCAGGAAAGGCCAATAAGAGGAGAGTAGATTTTTCCTCATAAAGCCTGCTCATGCAATGCATGTCCATTTTCTGTTTCCAACACAACTTTTTTCCCCCTTGAAAACTCCTCCACACAGAAGAAAAGTACTCATTAAGCTTCTTTATGAGGCATAGAGCAGTGCTATGAGCTTAAATACTGCGAACCACTGATTTCTTCAGGGACTTTTATTTTCATTGCACAATCCCCCCTCTTCATATGTTCATGCCCATCCCAGCACACTAGTCTGCTGGGCATGTGTGAGATGGATGTGGGAGTTTGACATGGGTTAGTTTTGAGAAACAGCCTAAAAACCAGCATGAAAAATACAGATAGTTCTCGACTTATAACCATTTGTTTAGTGACTGTTCAAAGTTACAGTGGCACTGAAATAAATGACTTATGACTAGCTCTCATACTTACAACTGTTGCAACATCCCCAGGGTCATGTGATCAAAATCTGGGCACTTGGTAGCTGGCATGTATTGAAGACAGTTGCACTGAACCCAGGCTCATAGGAGGACCATTTATAACCTTTCCAGTCAGCTTCTGACATGCAAAGTCAACGGGGGATTTGCTTAATGACCGCATGATTCACTTAACAGCTACAGTGATTCACTTAACACCTATGGCAGGTCATAAAATGGAACAAAACTCACTTATCAACTGCCTTGCTTAGCAACTGAAATTTGTAGGTCAGCTGTGGTCATAAGTCGAGAACTGTCTGTAAATACACAAAGTGCTTAGCAATATGAATGATGCAAACTGCTTGGCTGTATCTTTCCAGAAACCTGACATCCTCCCCAGTTGCACTATAAGTCCAATCAAATGCTATAAAAACTCATAAGCAGAAGTTGATGAATGACCGTCCTGTTGTTTGCAGGCACCGTAATATCTTTTCATGAAGCTTTCTATGTTAGCTGGTGAAGGTACAGATCTTTCTGTGCGTCCTGAGGATTATGTTTCTGCTCCAACTTTGAGGCCTGCATGATATGCATGTTCTAACTCTAAACCTAACCCTTGACTATCATTCATTTCTTTAATGTAACAGGAGAGTCACGTTATGATAGCCAAAAATTCAGAAAGACACTGTTTTAATACTAACACATTTTATTATACAGCATAGATTTTATGAGGTGGCTTGAATCCATCCATTAAGCTACTCCATGTATCTAAGGCTTGGCTGGCTAAATCCTGTGCCTTGTATTTAAATGCTTGAATGTCTTAAAAGCTACTACTGGACTCTGAAATTTGGCATTTCCTCACTGTACCTGAGATAGCTAAATTTTTCAAGTGATCCCCTGAGAATATTTTGGCTCAATCGATTTATTTATTTATAAAATATCTGCTTTTCATTATTACCATACTAACATCAAAGCATAATACAAAATAGCATTAAAAGCCATAGCATTATAACATCTTAAAACCAAGACAACAGGAACAAAGAAATGCATAGCAATATAGATTCAATTAAAAGCCTGGTGAACAAATTAAGATTATAGCTGGTTCTGAAAACTTCTAAGGCTTAGTGACACCTTTAACCATATACTGCAATTTTCTCATGGTATTATATCTGCCATGACTCATGCAAGTTATCCCTTATTATTGTGGTTGAAAGTGGATCACATACGTTCGGTAGTCACTCATGTCATTTGATCATATGATTCTCTGTTTTTCTCTCTATCTATATATACAGTATATATATATGAAATAAAACAGAGAATGTTGAATGGCCCTAAAAGCAGCTTTGTATTTTAAGCATGTGGTGGGATTTGCAGTATTATAAATGCATATCAATGCCCAAGGCAGAAACATCCTGCAGAACTTGAAAGGTATAATATTGGTTGTGTCTTGCATGGAGTTATTTTTTCCTTTTGGCAAAAAGTATGTACTATATAAGCTCTGTCACATTCTTTAATTGAGGTTTTCCCCTCTTTTCTGTTGTTACAGCAGCCTTACTGTTGCTTCTCTCCAATATAAAATCTTGATTTGCATGTTGAACGTTGTCCAGGCCAAGCAAGATCCAGGTGCAGAATCCAAAGTCATACATGATTTGCTGGGAAGGGACAGTCGAAGTCTAAATGAGTCTGGATCTGATACTGAATAACAGCTGCACCTGTTTCTTCTGATTATATCAGGGGAAGGTCTGTGCCCAAACTTAGCAAAATCGAGGCAAGTTAACTTGCAATCTTGCCACTGAGCTTCCACACTTGAGACCCAGAAAGATAAAAACCTAAGAGCCAGTAGCCTTTTTCTGTGGCTATCGTTCAGCATCTCCGAGGGCTCAGCCTTCATCTTCCAAAAGCCATTTAAAATGGGAGAGCTTTCTCATTCTCACCCATATTCAAGCATCTTTCTCACCCTTCGTTCTGCGGCCTTCTTTCCCCATTACCACAGTAGCCCAACATGGGGTGTGTGTGTGTGTGTGTGTCATAATCAATTGTGATAGGGGACCTCCTCATCTCCCAAGTACCTTGAAGCTGATGGACTACTGACAACTGGTTCTCCCCCATTTTTCCCCAAGCTGTTAAATGAGCCTTTAGGTGGTTGGAGGAAGAAGAGTGGCAAAGCTTTGGAGGGGTCTCTCCAGGCAGCTTGGAACAGCCTAAGTAATGGAACCACGGCACTGGCCACTTTTCACCCTGTGGCTGTAACCCTCTTAATCTCTCTTCTCCATCCTGCAGATAAAGCTTTACCTGCTTTAGGCAGGCTTAGAAAATCTGTCAGTGCTGTGCCTCGCTTGGCAATGCTTAAGGAGAATGACGGGCTAGGCAGTTGATAGTCTCGTCTCTGCTACAGGTGAAGCTGTTATACTTTTTTTGGCAGGCACGCACCGCCTTCTCCTCAGCCTCTCCGGCACTAATGAGAGACGCGGCTCCTCTCCTATCTGGGGAGGCAAAGCCTCTCATGTTGTAGACACAGCAACGTGCTGCTGCTGGCGGATTCGCACGTATGGGCGGCGTGGCGGATCCATTCTGGGCGCGGAAGTTCTGCCGTTAGCGCGGCAGGCTGTTCGGGGCAGCCCGAGACGCCGTCTGTTTTGTTTTTTTTCTATTGGGGGGTACCGAAATGGGAAGCCCGCCTCGGGCTGCGTAACTAAGGGGGAGACTCTCCGCCCCGCCAAAACCAATGGCTCGAAAACGTCTCCACTTCCACCCTCACCTCCCGCCGCCTACCCCAAACACCCCCCCCCTTTGCAAACGTGGCGTGCCACTTGGGCGGGAAATGCCTGGAACGCAATAAAGCCCACCCACTCACCTCCCGCTGGCAGGCTGGCTGATGGGGCGAGAGGAGAGGCGGAGAAGCAGGCGGGAGCCGAGCAGAGAGTAGCCCTCCGAAGAAGGGGGCTGAGGGAAAAGTGTATGTGTTACGGCATGCTGCAGACGCCCCTCGCTCGCTCGTTTGCCTCGCTTCCCTCCTCCCGCCGTCTCCTCGGCTCTCTCGCTCTCTCTCTCCAGTCTAGCTTGACGCAGGCAGCAGCTCGCGATCGCCCTTTGCGAACCCGCCGTCGGTGAAGCCGGGCGCCTGTGGGGCGCCGCAGAACCAGGATGGTGGGGCTTCTCCTTTCCTTCGCCTAGCTCCGCCGAAGCGAAGCGAAGCGAAGCGGCGGCAGCGGCAGCGGATTCTTTGCCAAGCCAGGCTGGAGGCGTGCGTTGAAGGGCTAACAGGATCTGCTGGCGGAGGTTGCGGCGGCGGCGGCAGCAGCAGCAGGTCGCTCGGAGGAGCGATTGGCAAAGTTGGCTTGAAGTGGGACAAGCGGCGGCGGCGGCTACTCGGTGGGGCGGGGGGCAAAGTTGCGACGAGAGGAGCGGGGGGCGCAGGCAGGAGCCCCAGGGAGGAGGAGGTGGTGGTGGAGGAGGAGGAGGTGGAGGTTGAGAATGGGGACGCTGCGGGATTTACAGTATGCCTTGCAAGAAAAGATCGAGGAGCTTCGGCAGCGAGATGCGCTCATTGACGAGCTGGAGCTGGAGCTGGATCAGAAGGACGAGCTGATCCAGAAGCTGCAGAACGAGCTGGACAAGTACCGCTCCGTGATCCGGCCCGCCACCCAACAGGCGCAGCAGCAAAGCTCCAGCACCTTGCAGGGCGAGCAGAGGACCAAGAGGCAGGCCATTTCCGCCGAGCCCACGGCTTTTGACATCCAGGACCTCAGCCATGTCACCCTGCCTTTCTACCCCAAGAGCCCACAGTAAGCCGTTGTGTCCGTGTGGCATCCCTGTGGTGTGGTCTCGCTCTCTCCCCCTTGTATCTGTCTCTGTCGCCCGTGCTCTCCCTCCACTCGCCCGGTGGATCCGCCGCCTGCTTTCCATCGCTTCTCATCTCCAGAAATTGCTTCTCCCTTCCCGCCGCCCCACTTTGGCTCTCTCTCTCTCCCCCGCCCCCCCAAAAGCCCTAAACTCTTGGCATCTGGTGGGCTGCCACCTTTCCAAAACCACATACAGCCTTCAGCATTTCTCTGTGCTCTTGTCAGGTATCGAGGTACCTCGGTCCCCTTCTGGGGGAGGAAAATTTCCCTAGAGTATGAAAATGCTCTCTCTGTTCCCCTCTTCCCAAATTGTCACAACAGCATCGTCAGACTGGCTCTACCAGCGTGGTATGTGTTTCTGTCTGGTTTTTTTATTTTTTTTTATGGCGGTTTCGGTTATGGCTTCTTGCCCTGAATATAACTGGGAACTGGCAGTTTGGAGGTAGAAATCAAATTTCCTAACCTGAAGATTTGGGGTGTGTGTTGTGGGTGGGGGGCTTGGAGGGTTTCCATTCATTCTGTCTGGGAGGTATTTATTTATTTAAGGGCAGCCAAGACTCTGGCATCATCTTAAAGACCATCATGTTTCTTTGTTAGAGTAAGAGATAGGTAGGTTTTAAGATGCCTCAAGACTCTTCGCTATCTTTTTGTACAAGAGACGAACTCAACTAACCCTAACATGCTTGCCTGTGGGGCTTGTTTCCTTTGGTGACTGGGCATGGACAGGCAAAATTCTGTAGAGGAATTTCTGTTCTTTTTTTTTAAAATGACCTTTTAAAAAGTGATCTGACACCTTTCTGGACTGTTTCTGAGGAGTACAACTCCTACACACATCCAGGAGACAGGGTGGGAGAGAGCTGCCACCAAACTATGATTAAGTAGGATTAAACAGAAAGCAGATGTAAAAATGACACTATCTTTTTCCCTCAGTCACTTTCTTCTTTCGTTTTTAAATGAGAGTAGAACATAAAAGGTTTGTATACAGCCATTTCCTGTCAGCGCTTTGTTTCTTCCTGCACCTGAAAATACAGAAGTTTCTCCTTCTATTTCAGAGAAGAGTTTAGCTTTGCTTTAATCCCTCTCACCTTTTGAGTGATTGCTTTTTTTCTCCTTTTTTGGTTGAAAAAAGGCTTTGAATCACTTTATTCTTTCATCCTAAGCTTTGTCTGCTATTCCTTACTGGTCTCTTGGGGGGGGGGGCTGTAAAATAGCTTGGAAACAGCAGAAATGCCTAAGATCATGACTTAACGTTTCTCAAAGAAAAAAGTCAGATCTCTTTTGGCCTCACTCTTCTAATCCTAGCTATGGAGAGAGGCTTGTTGTAATGATTTGATAATGAGGGGAAGACATGCTGCACACACTTTGTATTCCTCTATTACCACATCACGTGTACCACTTTAGCCTTACCACACCAAATGTGCACCGTGCTTATGCACAGTCTGAGCATCTCTAATGAGAAGGTGGGTTTTGTCTATGGTCTTCTGTACCCCAGGAGTAACCTTGGATTTATGCTGCCAATTTTGGCATTCTCTGCTCATAATTTAAGTTGTCCCTCTGGCATAGCATTGCCAGTGTAGGATTTCCTTTTGATTCCTCTCCTTTCACTGTTCTACTGTTTCCTCAAATCTTTGTTGAGCTTTTTAAGTGATGCCTGCCCTGCTTCACAGCTCATCAGGCCCAATTGGTGGAGTGAAGCTGACAGGGTCTTTGAAAAAGGAGGGCAGTGAGGGTGGGGGAAAGTGGCTGGTTGCTCTTTTTGACAACCAAGGCGTGAACATTCTAAGTCTCACTGTCTGATGTGACACAGTGTGTATATCTTTGCCTTAAAATATCGGGAGTAGTATCTTTGCAGTGATAGTCAGATGCTGTGCATTTAATTGTCTTGAAAAGATACACACTTACTCAGAGGTGTTTACTCAGAAGATACACATTTACTCAGATTAAATCCCCCAAACTGAATGAGATCTATTTTGAATAAACATCTTTGGAGCTTTCTAAACATTCTTTACAGAACCGTACTAGATCTGTTCTTAAATTATCCTGCATATTAATATATAATAGTTATATAATAACATACTTAACAACATGAGATGCTTCTTATTCATTATTCATTGATTTGGGGAATCTCAGAATTACCAAGAATTTGCTTATTTTGAGAAAAAGTTTGATCTAACATACCAAGTCAGGTATTTCAGTGTAATGTGTGCCTTTATTCATAAAGGTGAACAGATGCCATCTTATGTTCAATACTATCCATAATTATTAGCAAAATGAATCTGCATCTAAACGGTAATAGTTGTGTTTCTACTGTTGTTGACTGATAAAGGATAAAATGTTATCCAGGCAGAAATCTAAACTAGAAGACTAGGAATTATATGTTGGTAAAGTGATCTTGAAACTTTCCTCTGACTTATTCTTGCATTTATGTCGTGATTAATGAGTTTACTTAAATACCCCTGGCTGGCCACCACTGAAATAGAATGGTTGATTAAACTAGATTTAGGAGAGAGTCCAGGAGGAAACTTTATGCTTAAATTGTACAGTTATAACAGTTTCACACTGAACCACAGAAAAGTATGCCAAGCTCACATATGCGGCTCAAGCTCTTGGTGTTAACAATGTTTTTATGCAGGCTTAAGTTTGATTCATAAATCTAAAATTGAGCTCAGTTTTTGGCAATGATAAGGGCATTTGTAAAATGTTGGCACTGACTGAAGGAAAGTCAATTGTCAGCCCACTCCATCTTTGCTGTATTGCTGTTCAGCAAACTACTTGAATAATTTCTTTCGTTCGGTGCAAGTAATGCCAATTTGGGTACTTAGTGGGGCTATCAAACAATTGCTCTGCCACCTGGATAGCTGGCAGAGACATTGTTTTGAATTCACTCAGCATATTGAATGGTTTAGGCTCTGAGTCTGGAGGATATGATGAGGATAAAACCAAGGTAACATTATCAGAGAGGCTGAAAGAAACATTACATTTCATTTACCAAGATGCAGATTAAATCACTGAATTGTAAAGGTTCACACAGTTAATAAAAACAAAGATTTTTCTCACTTCGGTGTTATGTTCCACTAAAAGTACAAAAGAACTAACATTCTGTTAGAACAAATGCCCCAATTTACATTCCATTCTGCTGAGACAAGAAGTACTGTGAGATTACAACACTGTACATGCTTCATAATTGTAGCCAGGAATAACCAGGGCAAAAAACCCCAGGGAATGGAGAACAGATTTATTCTCTTTCCCATCTTCTAAATGTCCTTAATATACATATTTTTAATGCATGACTAATGTCACAACTTTCCTTTCCTCAAGTGTTTGATAAAATGTTCTTATGGCTTTCCTGTGTCCTGTTGTGTTTCTGGTTTCTCTTAACTCCTTTTTTCTACAATAGTCATGACATTTAGGTAGATCCTCTGGCATTTGTTCTGAGGACTACAGAAAAAGAGGTCTATTATGCTGGATGGATACATCTCATTTGGCCACAAATTCCTTCTTCTGTGAGATTTTTTTAATTGGTAGTCCTACAACCTCTAGAAGATATCATATTTAGTTAAAAAAAGTAAAAAGGTAAAGGAATCCTTGTGGATTTTACTTGGCTAGTCATTGCTGACTATAGGGAGTGGTGTTCATTTCCATTTTGAGGCCATTGAGCTAGTGCTATCCAATGACATTTCCGTGGTCATGTGGCTAGCATGATATCACAAAGCGCTGTTACTTTCCCACTGAAATGGTACCTATTTATCTACTCACATTTGCATGCTTTCAAACTGCGAGGTTGACAGGAGGTGGGGCAAGAACAGAAGCTTGCCCCGTTTCAAACGGGTCTCAAACCTGGGCTACTGACTTTCCAGCCAACAAGTACACTGTCTTAACCGCTGAACCTCTGCACTGTCCATCTTATATAGTAGGATGACTTTATTCTGTCTGAAAACTTCTTTTCAGTCTCAAGCCATGATCATTCTCATAAATCATGGCTTGAACGTAGAACATCTTCATGCAAAACTTTGCAGTTTCTGGAAGACCGTGGCTATATTAAATTTTTATTTGGAGAAGGGAAGAAGTTGTAAGCTACATCTTCTATTATATTTGACTCTTCTGTGGCATCATGTTGAATGTATGGATTGCTTTAGCATAATAATGGATCAAGTCATAAAATGTAAGGAAGAGCAAAGCTATTGTAACAATGTGTTTAGAAAGTGGGCAGAGAGAGAATGAGAAAGAGAAGTACTTTCCATCAAACTTTTTTGCGGGATAATGTAGGCAGCATATCATGGTGTATAGCAGATAATGGGAAGCTGGTGAATCAGTAGGAATTTTTTATATCAAGGGTAATGTCTAATAAATTTTGGAATTAGAAGAAAATTCAAGTGAGCGCCAATATCACACTTAATTTGAGGAGTCGAGATAACTCACAAGTCCATTTTTTGGTTTTCCTCAAACGTGTCTTGGCTTTCTGATCTCTCTCCTCCTTCTGGCTTGAATGCTTCAGAGGAAAGGGAATAGGGAAAAGTAGACATCTGCTTCAAAATCTTTTTCTATTGGTCTACTGATTTGCATTTTTGAAAAGGACATATTGGAAGGATTATTGCAATAAATCGTGTTTTGAAGCTTTTTAAATAAATTTTATTAAAAATATCTGTTTTTGTTTTACACTTGTTGTCTGAAGTGATCTGTGGGGAAAGGTAAACCTCTAAAGGAGACATATATCATTTTTCACAATGTGCTAATTTCCTTTTATGACTCTTATAAACTGTCATGGATTTGATATGGTAATGATGAAAAAGCAAGCATACTTAAAAAAAAACACAATATACATGAAAACACAAAATCTTTAAGGATGTGAGGGAAACTGAAGATTTCCCCAGTGTAATGCCATCAGATACATTGGACCAGAATAACAATAACAATCACACCCACTGGCAGATGTAGGTGCCACA